TCACGGTTTTTATTTACTCCTTCGCACACGAACGTAGTTTTCACAAGAAGTGAAGCGTTTCAGTAAGCTGTAAGGGTACGAGTCGTTTCCAAAAGCTACCTTGATGATTGTTTGGGATTAAACGCGTGTTGAAGCTGTAGCGCTGCAAACGATGAACCGTACTCGGACTAAAGCAAAAGTTGAACTTTGTACTTTTCCTGTGCAGAATGTTTGTGTTGACGCACGCAACGTTCAAGTGAAGTCTGCAGGATAACACCTTAAATGACGATTGGCTTTCCACGCAGGCACAAGGTGCTTTGAAACGTTAACTAGGACCCTGAGCGACTGATCGCAAAGAACGAGTTGTTGGACCGAGATCCTCTTTTCTGCACCGTAGTGCCTCTTTACCCGCGGCTGGTTTCTGAAGCGGTTGGAAACGACAGAAATGTAAGATTTATTTTAATTTCACAGCTCGTCGCACAATCCTCCGCTGCACCCGGAGTCTCCTGAACTCGTGTTCTCAGGATTCTTGGGTCCAGCATCTGTTCTGACGCTCGCGCTCTTCGTCTGCTGGAAACAAACATGTTAAAGTCATTTAGTGATATTTTTCTGGTTATTAAATGTTTATTTTGAAAGATTAAAGAGTTTGTGGTTTTCAACTGCTCGTTGAAAGAAATGGTTATTTTGTGTATTCTTGTTTTATTGTACAGACGTTTTGTAATAAAATGCAAATGATTGTATCTCCTGCAGAAGTATTCTTTTTTTTTTTTAACTAGTAGAGAATTTGAGTGAAATTCAATAAATTTAGAAATATGGCTGAGGCTCCAACGTACCCGAATGTTTCATTTAAAGTAGTCCCTCACTACTTCGTTGTCTGACATTCGCAGTTTTTCAACGTAAGATTGTACACGACAGTCAACTTTAATATTACTCACGTGATTGGGACAGTACGGGATAAAAAGGTAACGGGAAAAAAAAAACTTGACCTCCGTCTTGTTGAAGCTTCAAAATTCACAGTTGAAACTTGTGCCTTTGTGTAAAAAATTGTTTTTCTCTGCAAAAAGCAGCTGAGAACTTAATGATTTTTTTTAATTAGAAGCTTTGTGTGACAAATGCTAAAGAGCTCAAACCAAACTGATCGTCCACCATTTTGAGAAGTGAAAAAAAGGAGAGACAGCCCATGTCATGTCCAGGGGCCTCCCTCCCATTTTTCTTAGAGACACGCTGCTCTCACTATCCAAACTTCAACAGTTTAGGCTTATACTGCCATCTAGTGGTCAAACAAGGTACTAAACTTAAGAAATTAACCAACATTTCTTAAATTTGACAATTATTGTCAAATTTAAACAATATCTTTATCGCAATAATTTCTGAGAATTAATCGCCCAGTAAAATTTATCGTGACAGGCCTACTGCCAATTTCTAGTTTTCTTTCAGTAACCCTACACTAATGCCAGTCATAAGAACTACACTTCCCAGAAGTCAACAGTGCTTCCGACTGCTGCTTTCTGCCAAAACAGAGCGAAAGTTTTGCAAAAGTTTTGCGAAAGCTTTGCAAAGCAACGTTGTATCTTTGAAGCTCACAGAAGTGGCAGGAATGTTGCAAATAATCCTGAAGCTGAACTCCTCCTTCAAGTTGCATCTTCACTGGTGAGGACCTGGCTGCAGTTGATCTGGACTCAGTGACCTGGATTCTGGGGGCTGCGGGGTTCAGCCTGGTTCTGGTCGCTGGGGTGCTGATCCAGACCCGAGCCAAGGTGGTGGACTAGATCCTGGGCAGCCTGGCATGCGGAGTGTCAATGGAGCGGCAGCATGTGCACACCAACCTGGACGGGGGCGGTGGGCTTAGTCATGCTGCAGGGAAGCTGAGCCCGACCAGAACCGAGCTGCTGATCTGCAGAGCTGGTGAGTAAAACTTGGCAGTACTTTACAGTACATACAGTACATACAGTGAGGAAAACAAGTATTAGAACACGCTGTGACTTTACATGTTCTCCCACTTAAAAATCATGGAGGGGTCTGAAATGTTAAATCTTAGGTGCATGTCCACTGTGAGACATAATGTAAAAAAATAAAATCTGGAAATCACAAGGTAAGATTTTTTAATAATTTATTTGTGTTACTGCTGCAAATCAGTATTTGAACACCTGACAGTCAGCAACAGTTCTGGCCCTCAAAGACCTGTTAGTCCTCCTCCACTCCACTTATTATTCTAAATCAGAAGCACCTGTTTGAGGTGGTTAGCTGCATGAAGACACCGGTCCACCCCACACAGTCAGTGAGACTCCAACTACTAACATGGCTGAGACCAAAGAGCTGTCCAAAGACACCAGAGACAAAACTGTAGACCTCCACAAGGCTGGAAAGAGCTACGGGGCAATTACAAGCAGCTTGGTGAAAAAAGATCAACTGTTGGAGAAATTATTAGAAAATGGATGAAGCTAAACATGACTGTCAATCTCCCTCGGACTGGGGCTCCATGCAAGATCTCACCTCGTGGCGTCTCAATGATCCTAAGAAAGGTGAGGAATCAGCCCAGAACTACACGGGAGGAGCCGGTCCATGACCTGAAGAGAGCTGGCACCACTGTTTCCATGGTTACTGTGGGTAATACACTAAGACGTCACAGTTTAAAATCACGCATGGCACGGAAGGTTCCCCTGCTTAAATCAGCGCACGTCCAGGCCCGTCTGAAGTTTGACCATGACCATCTGGATGATCCAGAGGAGTCATGGGAGAAAGTTCTGTGGTCACATGAGACCAAAATAGAACTTTCTGGTCTTAATTCCACTCGACGTGTTTGGAGGACGAAGAATGATGAGCACCTCAGTTGGAGCATTGAAGATGGGTCGTGGCTGGTTCTTCCAACATGACGATGACCCGGAGCACACAGCCAGGAGAACCAAGGAGTGGCTCCGTAAGAAGCATATCAAGGTTCTGGAGTGAACTAGCCAGTCTCCAGACCTGAACACTGTAGAACATCTTTGGAGGGAGCTCAAACTCCGTGTTTCTCAGTGACAGCCCAGAAACCTGCTGATCTAGAAGATCTGTGGAGGAATGGTCCAACATCCTGCTGCAGTAAACCTGGTGAAGAACTACAGGAAACCTTTGACCTCTGTCACTGCAAACAAAGACTACTGTACCAAATATTAACTTTGATGTTCACAGGTGTTCAAATACTCATTTGCAGCAGTAACACACAAATTATTTAAAAAATCATACATTGTGATTGCTGGATTATTATTTTTTAGATTATGTCTCACAGTGGACACGCTCCTAAGATGAACATTTCAGATCCATTGGATCTTGGATCCACCAAGAGGCAGATGATCTGCTGAGATTAGAATAACTGATGCAGAAACTAGATCCACAGTGTTTAATAAGGCATCGTCGCTCCGTCTGTGTTTTCACACGTCAAAGTGCCGACAGCTGAAAAAGAAACGAGTCACAAACTGAACGGGTTTTTTTTTTTCTTTTAAAGAATAAAAAAATCATTTAGGCATGCATTTACACCAGATAGTATCTCTCTATCGCTATCGTCGACATGAAATATACAAACGTACGAAAGAAGTCGGAAACGTGATATAAATGTGCACGATCGAATCAAAACGTCCTGTTAAAATAGAAACGTTACTTCGGAGCTGTCCCAAAGTTTTTTCTTTTTTTTGGTTCATGAAACAAAATTTTTAGAAAAGCAATTAATTTATACAACAAAGACGAAGACGATGTGCAAAATTTGAATCCATGCAAGCAACTAATTGCAGCTCGGGTGCCTGAGTGACGGATCTGAGGGAACGAGGAACAGGAAGTCCATTTTCCTCGGCAGCGTCGCACTCGGGAAACGAAGCTCGTTCTTTCTACGATCACATGAAATAAACAAACAAATTTACATTAAATAGTATTTTTATAAGCACTGATGAGTTGAGCCACGCAAGTTACAGATGCCAAGGCGACACAGAGCACCACCCAAGAAGAAATACTGCCAGTAAACGGTTGTCATGACGACCCGGAGTCGCTCCAGATGTTCCCAACAGCCTGGAGCGACTCCGGGTCGTCGAATGGATTCACACAAACCAAAAAAAACAAAACCGTGTTACACAAGAACACGTTTACGAACAGAGCTCCTACATCCCACGAACCTTTGAAATAAGTTTATTTTTCAGTTCATTCACTGGAAGGATGGAACATCTGGAAGGTTTTTATTTTAAACAAGTGGACGTTTCTGTCAAACGTTCTAAAGTAATTTTGTAAAATTTACAAAAGTTTCGGAGCAGAGTAAATTTAGGAAAATTTAAGTGTAATTAATTTATAATTTCCAGTTCAGTTTCTTTTCAAACTTAGAAATTTTAACAAATTTGAGACTTAATTTGTTTTTAAGCATGAAAGAGGCGGCCAATAAAAATACTTGATTATTTTTATTTATTTATTTGCCGTTTAAGTAAAAAGCATTTTTTTCTGGGTGAGTAAATTTTTCTAGAAACTGGAACAGACACATCTGGAAAACATCTGTCCTTTGTTCCATCCTTATCCAGCTGTGGAAAACGGTCCAAACAAAATCCTCACCTCTGAAGAGACCGTGGGAACCCTGCGTTTAAGACTGGAAATTAAAATGTTTGTTTTTTTTTCTTACGAACGTTCGTTTGAAAACAGCAAATAAATTTCTGACGACACCGAGCGCAGAAAAGCGCTCGCGTGGAACCAGGAGACGTTTGGCGACGGCGTGCTAACGTCACTAATGTACAAATGATGCGACAGTCGCAGTGCAATGAGGTCCGTGTGCAAATCGTCTGCATTTGTTTAACAAAACGAGATGAAGGGGACGTCTTTGGGTGACGGACACGAGCGGGGACGTCTTTGGGTGACGGACACGAGCGTTAAAGCCGAACCGAGGGAACACGGGACGCCTTCAGTCACTGAAACGGACCGAGGCAACAACCTGAACACACGACAAACAAACAACGTGGCGTTTAAAACGAGTGCAGCACTTTCCTGAACTGCAGGTGCACATCGGGGTTTGGGGGGGGGGGGGGGGGGGGTCCAAACAGGCGACATGAAGGCTTTAAGATTAAACGTTTCAAAAGGAAACACTTCTGTAACTGAAAGATGCTTTTCACATTAAGGCAATGAGTTTTCTTTTTTTACAAATGGATGTAAAAGGGAGAAAATAAATACACGCATGTTTCTCACACACACACGCACGTGGGGGGGGGGGGGGGCAGTGAACACTGCATGACGAGTCCAGTGAACATCTCGGCACCATGACAACCCTCGTCCTCTGCTGGAAGGTGTCCGAGCTCAAAACCTTTCCAAAGACCCCCCCCCCCCGAGGGATGAAACCCGTCGGTGTGGACGTTAACAGTCTGACCAGTAAGTGGTAACGTTCGCCAACCCTGCGCCGCCGGTCCGTTCGTCCTGACCGGTCCTCAAAGACAGAATCACGGCGAGGACGAGGACGCTGCGTGGAACTTGACGAAGGCGATGGCTGCCAGCTCTTTGCAGAACTCCTCCAGCACGATCACGCCTTCCAGCAGCGTCGTGTGGTCGATGCTGCGAGGACACACGGGACAGAGAGGTGAGCGGACTCAAAGTCCAGGTGAAACGCCCGACGTGGGACAGATACGTACGTGATGCCCTCTGGCTCCAGGCCCAACAACCTCTTCCTGACGAGCAGCAGTTTGGCTGTGAAGTCCGGGATGCGGTGAATCCTCAGCATGAGATCTCCGACCACCTGCAGCGGTTTGAAACGTCGTTAAAACAACCGCGGTGACGGAAAATCTTTTTTTATTTAGCCCTGAAAATAATAATGTCGTCTCGCTTGTGAGCGACTCTCAGCTTTAGCTCAGTATCAGCCAAACACTCGTATCCATTTTGGTGTTTAATGTTGATTAGCTGTGGCAGCCATCTTGAATTTTTTTAAAATATTATTTATTTGAGACCCTGCACAATAACAATACACTTTGAGAAAAGGAGCTGCACGAGTTGAAATTAAACAATTAATACTACTATCGTATTTTCCGGCGTATAAGTCGTGTTTTTTTCCAGAATGTACAAGCCCTGCGACTTATACACGAAGCGACGTATTTATGTTTTCCCCATACCGTATTTTCCGCCGTACAGGTCGCACCGCCCTATAAGTCGCATCAGTCCATATTTGTCTAATAAAGTGGAAAAATCCATAAATATGTTGCTTTGGCCTATAAGTCGCAGGGCATGTAAATTATGCATGCATCAGGATATGCAAAAAACTGACTTATAGGCCGAAAAAAACAATATTTATAATCCAATTTTTGTCTGAGATCTGACTATTTCATTCATTCTGACATGGAAAATATTGAACACTACCATTTTCAGCCACTAGAGGGCGCTCAACTAATATGACAAGCCAAGTGTCTCATTAATAGGTAAAAGTGGCTATTAATGAGACACTTGGCTTGCCATACCAAGCCACCTTAGTCTCGCATTTATTAAGGAAAAGTTAGACGGAGACGCACCTTTACTATAATTTCGAACAAATAAATGTTTTTAAATGTTAATCTTGTTGAATTCTTGCTAAAGTCCTCCCGTGCACGCTCCAGCGGCAGCCTATCAATTTTTGGCACAACCAGCCCACTTTTACGAGTTGTCAGCCGTGACGTGTAATAGATGCAACGTATAGGACGAAGCGACATGTTTGTTTTTTTCCCCCTTTATTAGACATTTTTGGACTGATGCGACTCATACGGTGAAGCGACGTGTACGGCGGAAAATACAATGGTATGGATTCAGGTTCAAATACAAATGCTTAATATTAACACAAGCGAACTAGAAAGTGACCGTGCAGTAATACTAGTTACTGCTGACAGAACTGCTGAGTCACGCCTTACCCTGACGATGACGGAGAACAAAGACCTGCAGCCGGGGGCCAGGTTGATGTACGGGTCCAGCAAGTATTCATGTAGGTGGGGGTGTGGTAGCGAAGACAGCTTGGACAGCACGGCAGTCACCTGCAGGTTCACTTCGTAGGGCTGCAAGACAGGGAACAAACGACGACTCAGCACATTAACCGATTAGTCGGCAAGTTTCTGGTACAGGTTTAAGAGTCTTTTAAAGTCGGTTTTATCAACCGATATAAAATTTTTAAAAACTAAATAGATGGATTAACAGTTAAAACAAATTACATCAAAACAATCTGTTAAAAAGTTCATTTTTTATTTTCTGTCCTCGAAACATCGAGTGGAGGCTTTTAATGTCGCAGTGAACGATTTAACATTATCTTTTAAGTTCTGTGAAGACATTTAATCCAAGCGTTTAGGTAAAATTTTTTTTTTAAAAAGTCAAAAGGTCGAGCACTAATTTTGACTAAGCCTAAAAAAGTTAATTTTTGATTTGTGCGAAGCGCTTTTATTTTGAAATGCATCCAGTAAAATTATCCTGGCGTTTAAAATAATCTTAAAGTCCCGCCTGGAGTTCACATTAACTTAAGTGACATTTATCCTTGGAAGAAAAATTTTAATTAATGATTAAAAACCCAAAATAACGCGACGAGTGTATGTAAACTTCTGAACGCAGCTGCACCCACTAAGCCGAATAAAATGAAGCATTTTACCGTAGTTTTTTTTTAAAGTTTGTGTAAAACAATCACCAAGAGCTTCGTACTTTAAAACAAATGACACCAGCTTTGTCAAAACACACATGATCCGCGGTGTTGAACACCTGCCTGATCCAAGATGCGACCCATCCTGTCGAAGAGAACTTTGAGGAAGTGACCTTCGAAGAACGGCAGGTCCAAGTTGCACTTCTCTAAAGGTTTGGGATGTCCCCTCCAGTCCCACCGCTGGCAGACGCCACAGAAGTCCCTGAACTGAAGACGGGACAGGTGAAGCGGACCACCTGAGACTCGGCGGCTCCAAACCTTCGGCAGCGTCTCACCTGTCTGTGAGCGTCTCTGAGGTAGGTGTCGTAGCCCGAGCCTTCCACTTGGTACGACGACTTGGCCTCATCGGGAACCAAGCACAGGAAGCTGAAGGCAACACAAACCGGGTCAGAACTCTGCGACACTTTCATCCCGTCGCACGGACTAGAGCTCGCACCTGTTCACGATCTTGTGGACCTCCATCTTCCCATCGAACTTCGAGTGATCCGGACTTTGCGGCGGAGAGGAGCCGAGCCAACCGGAGCCGGACAACCGGCTGTTCGGGGAGAGGTCGTCTCCGAACAACGGATCCTCTTCCAGGTCTCTGAGAAGAAAACGGAACCATTTCGTTTCAGTCACTTACGTGCGAGAACGTTTCATTCGCTCGACTGCACGAGAGCTGAACTAGTTATTACAGCTAAAAGTAGAAGCTAAAGTTATAAAAGGGTAGGCGAAGGCTAAACGTAGCAAAGGGCTACTTAACGAGCAAAAGGCTACGTAAACACCAACGTCCAAAAAGCTAAAAATAAAAATCAAAAGTTTGAACAACGTAGTAAGATGGGTGCTGAAAACAAAATAGCTAAAAGATGAAAAGGCCAGTTATCAGCTAAAGGCTAAATAAAAGTGGCAAAAGGCTTTCAGAAATTTAATTTAAATTGTAATGCTACTAAAAGTAGCAACTATTAGCTAGAAGCTAAACGTAAAGAAGCTAGCTAAAAGCTAAAAGGGCTAGATGAAAAGTGATGTACAAAAAAGTAGCAAAAAGGCTAGCTAAAAGCTAAAAAAGCTAGTTAAGTTGATGTATTAAAGAGAAAAATTACATAAAGGTTAGCTAGAAGCTAAAATTAGCATCAAGTACGCAGAGACGGGTTTAGTGAAAACAAACGGGGGAACAAAAGTTGATTATTAGATGGAAAAACAAAAAATCTGATTATAAAATCTAACAAGAAATCCCTCCAGAACTTAAGTTTTAATTTAAGTCTCTACGACCTCAGGAGATATAAAAATAAAAACACTAAAGTCGAGCTTGGGCAGAAACAGCAGCTTGTTAACAGAACGTTTATGTATTCGTTTTATTTCCAGGGGTTTAGATTTGTCCAGCAGCTCGGGGGGGGGGGGATGAAGACCGTAGGCGGTTCCTTACACGGCGTCGTGAGGCTGCCCGTTCTCCAGAGGCTCCCGCTCCTCCTGAGGCTTGTTCTCCATGTAGTTCCTCTCCTCCAGGCTTCGCAGCACCAAGCTGTGGAGGATGTGCTGCTGGGGCTTCTGGACGAGCTGCTCGAACAACCGCAGAGTCATGATGCTGATCTGGAGGACAGAGGAGGGGACGGAGTCACACGACGCTGCCGTGGATTTACTCACGAACAAAAGGTGATTTATCCGCCTCGTCTGTCGTCGGGTGTTAAATGAAACGTTTCATTCTGGTGGTTCAATAATTTATAAGAGCTGAAAATTATTTTAAAGTCAGACAAAATTAAAAAAAATATATGTATTTTAATGGAAAACATTTTTAAAAACTACATCCATCCGTCTTCCAGTTGTTCTGGACTCAGGGGGGCTGCACCTCGAGCAGGGAGGTCCAGACATCTTCCTGCAGCCACTTCTAGGAGGACAAGGTGTTCCCCGACCAGCGGAGAGACTGTCTCTCCATCAAGTCCTGGGTCTCCTCCCAGTTGAACATCCCACTGTCTCCCCTATCATTATACGAGCAGAGCACCCCGCCCTGCCAACAGAACCGAGCTCCCTGGACCTGATGACCGGCCCCCGCCCGCTTCAAAGGAACAATAACTGGCGTAAGAACCTCGTCGGATAGATGGTCGCAGTGCTCGATGAGTCTGTGCCTGAGAGGGTTCTGGCAGATCGTGGCTGCAGTTTCCGGTTCCGTCTCTTCTCCCAGCAGAAAGTAAACGATCTCCTGCAGCAGCGCCTCTGACGTCACCTGCTTTATGACCCGGTTCAACAGGGCGGTGGAGGTCAAGATCCCCACCTCAGACCTGCACAAACACAGACGCCGATTCACCGAGCAGTCGGTAACGAGACGACCAACGGAGACGTTTCAACGTGGGACGATTGACGAGCGGCTCGGGGCACGACTTACGTCTGCATGAGCTGCGGCTCCAGCACAGAAACAAAGAATCGTTCCCTCACGGCTCGCGCCATCACAGCAGCTGCAGACTGGAGGACGGTGAAGAAAAACAAAACGCGCAGTTCATCGTCTGTGACGTTTGAACACACAATTAAACGAGTTCTTTGGAGGGAACACCGTTTATTCTGCCAATCCAGGCTGCAATGACACGTGAAAAGACGGCGTCAGAACCTTCTGGGCCTCCTTGATGAGCTGGTCGCAGTAATCCAACCAGGACAGGAAGGAGATGAGAGCTCTCTTCCCTGTGAAGACAGCCGCGTCCTCCTTCAGGTTGTACACATCCAGACTGAAAGAAGCATAAAGTGTTAAAGACGACGCCACGGCTGCACATCAAGTGTTCAAGGAGACGCTTACCCCCAGTTGACAGACTCCACCGTCTCGATGTCCAAGGGGTCCATGGACTGAGGCAGGGCTTTGTAAAAGGAGACCAGCCTGTTGGTGAGAAGCTCACACAGCTCCGTGTTTTCAGTCAAACACCTCGCAGCAGCCGGCTCTGGCAAACTGACCAGCAGCATCAAGCCCTCACACGCCTTCACCACTATCCTGCCATCCTGGACAGAAAAAAACATTTAGACGAGTCAGCAACGTCAACAAAGAAAGACCCTGAAGGCGATTAAAGAGTAACTCTTTAAAAACCCAGGGCGGACTCACAGGACTCTTGGTGAGGTTGAGTAAGGAGGTGACTAAATTGTAATTGTTGGTGTTGTTGTTGTTACTGGCTGGACTGGAGGAGGCACCAGCTGCTGCTAGTAGCTCCTCCTGGCTTCCTGCAGGTTTCTGTCCCGTGTCTGGAGCTACAACACCTCCCTTCACCTCCTCCGGCGCTGTACAACTCTTGGTCTCCGGCCTCTTCGACTTGTTCTGAAAACATTAAAATAATAAGAGAGCTTCTGAATTATGGGCTTAATAAGTTCTTCATGACTAGGAGCTATTTTAGCTGTTCAAAATGTTCAGCTCATTCAGGAGATGGGTGCACTTGACTTGAGTTTCTGTAATTTTTTTAAACATTTAACTTTATTTACTAATATGTTTCTTATAGAAATGCATTGAGATCCCCTTAGGCAACTTTTAGCTAACGTTTATGCGGCTTTCCGCCTTTTTTTTTTTTTTAGCTTTTAGTAAGGAGTCTGCTTCTTTGAGCTTATACCTAGCACTCTACTTATTTTTTAGGTTTTAGCTATCATTCTGCTTCTTTTAGCTTGTAGCTAGCATTCTGCTTTTAGCTAGCACTCTGTTCTTTAGAATTCAGCTAATGTTCTGCTTCTTTTAGCTTGTAGCTAGCATTCTGCTTTTAGATTTTAGCTAGCACTCTGTTCTTTAGAATTCAGCTAATGTTCTGCTTCTTTTAGTTTGTAGCTAGCGTTCTGCTTTTTTAGGTTTCATCTAATGTACTGCTTCTTTTAGCTTGTAGCTAGCGTTCTGCTTTTAGATTTTAGCTAGCACTCTGTTCTTTAGAATTCATCTAATGTACTGCTTCTTTTAGCTTGTAGCTAGCGTTCTGCTTTTAGATTTTAGCTAGCACTCTGTTCTTTAGAATTCATCT